GGATGTTTTTAATATTGTTTTAATAAATAAGTTTTACTTGGTGTTGCACTCACCCTCGCCAGACAGGCCCCTCCCAGCCCCAGCTTCCCATCTCTAGCTCCTCGAACGTTACATGGGGGCTGAGCCGATCCGACACAGTCGAGAGATATCGGATTGTAAGCGCGTAGAGGAGCAACTGAGAATCAGTAAAGACTCCAAGTCGCGCGTAGGCTGAAAAGAGAGTACGTGCTAAAGCACATAAAGCTCTGAAGCCAAAAGTGCAGAGGAGGTGTGAAAAGTGCACCCCTCAGGTACAGTTACAACGCGGCCTCGTGAAAGTTTTAGCGGGTAAGTTACCATCTTGGGAACCACGGAATCCAGGAAGCTAAAATTCTGTAGAAATGACCCCTACCCACGTACGACCTCGCTAATTCAAATCCATTGTTTCTACGCTTTCGGATAACACCTATGGCTCCTTGGAAATTTTGGTGGGGAGCATAAAGCATAAAGCCACTCTCGGGAAGCATAAAAGCAAGGAAGCTGAAACCTTATGGTAATGTCTTCTGCCCACATACAATCCTGCAATTTTAAATTCAGCTTCCCGCGCGTCCGAGTATCACTTGCTACACCGTGGGAGTTTCGGCAGGGAAAATCATTGTCTCGGGGACCGCGGAAGTTGGGAATCTGAAATTTTAGTGTGATCTCCTCTACAAACGTACGACCTCGCAAATTTGGACTCAGCTTTCACGCACCCTTGGGTACTATGTACAGCCCCGTGAAAGTTTTTACACAAAAATTGTTATCACGTATGCGTGAAAATTTAATGGAAAATTCCGCAACTTAAGAACCAGACAACATTTTAACTATTTTTGCACCGACTAAAGTGCAAAGCAGTGCAAATCATTAGCAGGCAATCGTTCGGTGAACGGAATTGCACAAAAAGCATGATCGCACCGGCTGTCTTGGTGCGCCGCTATTTATTTAATTTTTCCCACTGGCGACGCTGCTTCAGTTGACGTTCGAGATGATCTTGTTACATCTAACATTTCGTCTTATTTCACTGCGCACAAACTGTCACTTCAGCAGTATTGATTCTCGCTAAGCTCACGCGCTTTAAAAAAAAAGCTGATCTTGGTCGATTTGCCGGTCTGTTATACCTTGCTGTATTTTTCGGTCCGCAGTCATATGCAGTATTCAATATTTTTGACAGAAAAAGACCGAAAATTTATTCTTGAAAAAACAGTGGAAATTTAGGAGACTTAACGCTTCTTGAAGTTCAAGCGAAAATGAAGGCAAGCTGGTGCTGAAGTAAATCCGGAGAATATAAAAATAAACAGCGGCGCGCGCCAGGGTAACTATTGCGATCAAGCATTTTGCACAGTTCCGTCCAGCGGAACTCGAGAACTACGGAAGCTAGGAAGCTGAAGTTTTATGGGTTTTGACCTGTCTACGTGCGATCCAAAAAATTTAAGTTCAGTTTTCCCGTGAGCTTGGGTACTACACACGACCCCATGAAAGTTTTGGTAGGAAAAATTATTATTTCGGGAACCAGAAGAATTGCGAGGCTGAAATTTCAGGACGAACAGTCTTAGTATATGTCTAACCGTACCTTCCGGCAAACGTCTGCTTTGCTCATTTTGCGGTATGTGCATTCCCGTGCTCTAGCGACATAATGCTCGTTGCCACCGCCCTTGCTGCATCAAACACTTTTTGCTGGGATGGCGAGAATGAATGGTGGAAAGAAGGACGATGGCTCTTTTCTGCATTGTTCGTGACTGTGCCGAAGACAGTCATGTTGTTCTAGTCCTCTAAAAAAAGACAGCTAAGCAACATAATTATCTCTTCTGATCCCGAGAACAACATCAAACGGAGCGAGATAGGCAAAAAGTCAAAGGGACAGCGACTTAAACGAAGTGAATACAAAATTCAAAGGCAGAATATTCGTAAAGGGATTGTACTTTGTAAAAACTAGGGGTGATTAGCGAGGCATCCAAGGATCTAAGGAAAATACAACAAAACACGTCATCCCCAGGCATATCGCTCGCTGCTTGGTAAGTCGTAACTGATTGTGATGCAGCAAAATGGTAACAACGAGCACTACGTCGCCAGAGTAGACAGTTACCGTAAAGCATGGCTGGACGGACGTACATTCAAGTTGAGCGAGTCTACGAACCAGATAGCGTAGCGGGTGATGCTTTCTGTGTGGCAGGGTGGAAGTACAAATAAAAAACAGGCTTTGATCGAGATGTGAATTCGAATACAAATGACATCGAAATCGATTTTTTACCTTACGAAGTACTTTTGATCAAAAAAGATCAGGCTGTCGATCATTTTGGCCTGTCAGGAAAGTTCTTTACTTCCGATCAAAACTTTGTCTGCAGGAGCCTTGGGGAATCGGAAAAAATACAGCTCGCATTGGACTGAAGTCACACTTCAAGATGTAGTGAAGCTACACCGCTAGTATTAGCAATGGAGGCCACCATAGAACCAGTCAGGATATTCTCTAAATTTCAGAATGATTTCAACGTCATAAAATCTGCTCAAAGTTCAGATTTGCTTCGACAGCTTTATTCAAAAAATGTAACATTGTTAAAATTGTGTGAGAAGTTTCCTAGTAGTCTGTTTGCACAGTCAGAAGTGAGATACTCAACGAAAGACACCTATCCGCGAGCTGCACGGAAATTCTCAACACAGAGCATTTCGATCTGCATGCCTGTTTAGCTTCAAGATAGTTCTGGAGTTCTGGAGACTGTACACATTGCCAGTTTGTATAACCGATGCGATAGCACGACATTTGCTCAACGATCTTTACGTTAATGTGAAGGGTGGTACCCTTTCACTGAACTTTTGTTCTCAATGCTGCGGATACTCTTGGTCATCTTCATCCATGTACTGTCTAAAGCATCATCAAGCAGCAGTGAAATGCGGCTTTATGCTGATCTGATGACGAACTATAATGCACTGGAGCGGCCAGTAAGCAATTCAAGTGCACCACTACTGGTCAAAATGCGTCTCTTCCTGCAGCAGATCGTGGATGTGGACGAGAAGAATCAAGTAGTGCAGATCAATGCATGGCTCCGATACGCAAGTTTTTCCTGATCTCGGCTTTATCGCTTCCTTCTTGAGCATTTTCAAGAGAGCAGCCGGGCAGCTTGAAAGAAAGTCCTTTTTGCAGCATTTCGGATTTTGATCTAACTATTCATCCCCTACTACTTGGTAGGAGGTGTATTTTAGCGCTTATCTAAGAGGAAAAACTGAAAATCCTCTTTAATTAGTTAATTCTCATAAATTGAAGATATGTGAAACGAACAAAATGCCGAAGTACAATTATCCCTTTAAAAAAAATTGCAGTTTATTTTCTGAAGTCTAAAACCGCAGAGACTTCGCGCCTTCATTTCAATCCTCATTCCCTCTCTTCTCTTTTTGTTGTCCTGCTACAGCTAATGGAACGCTTGAATGTGTGTTCATACTAGTGCGATGCAAAATCACACTCCACTAAAAATCCATCTGGTTTCTTATACGCCCGTATGACCCTCAACAGTGCATTTAGATATGGGAAGATTACAAGCTGAAATGGAATCCCGAAGAATACGACGGCATCAAAGACGTTCGCTTTCCAAGTGATTCTGGGCAAGTGTGGCACCCTGATATTTTACTATATAACAGGTTCAACCGTTTTAATATGTTCCATATGCTTGTTGTATCATGACCTCCTCCTAGGTCATGCATTGGCGAGAAAGCGGCCTATATAAGGCCGTCGTATCTGTATTGTGAGCATTATTGCATCCAGCGCAGTGTCTCTCTGAAGGAGTAGTGTTACTCCCGTCCAGTGTTGTCGACCGACCCGTGTAAACCCGTGAAGTGCTTCAACCAAAACGTACGAAGACGAGGACCTCGTGCCTTCCTCCAGTAATTGTCGACGAGCGGGCTTGACGGGCTACAGTACCTGGTCAGTCGACTGAGGAGTCCGGGCCTAGAAACCCAACAAGTGGGGGCTGAGCCGGTGATAGAAACCGGAACCTCTTGTTGGGTTCCCTGGGTCCGTACTTCTCAGTCGACTGACCAGGTACTATGGCCCGTCAAGCAGTCTCGTCGACAATTACTGGGGGTAAGCACGAGGCCCTCATCTTCGTACGTCCTGGTTGGCGCATTTCACAGGTTTACACGGGTCGGTCGACAACATTGGACGGGAGTAACACTACTCCTTCAGAGAGACAGTACGCTGGATACAATAATGCCCACAATACAGATACGGCGGCCTTATATAGGCCGCTTTCGCGCCAATGCATGACCTACCTAGGAGAGGGTCATGATACAACATGCTTGAAGACAATTGCAATAATTTAGATCAGAAAAACCAAAAAAAAATTTTTTTTTCAGAATTTGAATAAACAGAAATCGGTGAAAAACAAAAAAATAGCGAAGCCCGAGTAGCCGGCATTATCATGCGTTTTGTGCACTTCCATCCCCGATCGATTGCCTACTAATAATTTTCACTGCTTTGCACTTTGACCTGTGCAAAAATAGTTGAAGTGTTAAAAAATAGTTGAAAATTTCACGCATCGGCAAGTGAAAACGAAATGTGAAACCTCGAAGAGTGCATATCCTTCCAAAACTTCAATTTCCTTATTTTCTGGCTTTTGAACGATTTTTGAGATAAAACTTTCACGTGGTCATACTTGAGACTTTAGCATAGTTAGGAACTGAACTCGAGTTCGTGAAGCCCCCGCTTAGGCAGGAAATATACTCCTGAAATTTTCAGCCTCCAAGTTCTTCTGACTCCCGAGATAAGATCATTCCGGCCAAAATTTCCACGTTGAAAATTTGTGGAGTCGTACGTGGGAAGAGAATGCTACCCGAAAATTGCAGCTTCCTAGCTTTCGCGGCCCCCAAGATAATAATTTTCTCTGCCAAGGCTTTCGTGACATTCTATGTGATACCTGGACGTAGAGAAGGATTGAATTCAAAATCGCTTGTTTGTACTTGGGCAGGGGACATTACCGTAAAATCCCAGCTTCCTAGCTTTTGCAGCACATGAGGTAATAATTTCATTGCCGAAACTTCCACGGGGCCGTGCGTGGTACGCAGGAGTGCGTGAACGCTAAATCCAAATTTGCGGGGGTCGTACGTTGACAGAGGACATGATCATAAAATTTCAGATTCTTAACTTCCATGGTTCCTGAGGTAATAATTTTTCCCGCCAAAACTTCCACAGGACCGCAAGTGATATCCAGGCACGCGGAAAGACTGAATTTAAATTTGTGGGATTGTACTTGGGCAGGAGATTTAGCCACGATAAAGATTTGGCCCATTAAACCCTATAGTTCTTAACACAATGCAACAATTGGACCTTGTCAGTGCGACGGTTGTAGTGTTTATTATTATTATTGCTATTATTAATATTACTATTAATATTATAGTACTATTATTAATACTATTGTTGATATCGTTATTAATATTATTATTATTAATATCACTATTAATATCATGCAAAAAGTTAGAAGTTGATGTAAGAAGTTAGAAGTTAATGCGTAGAATGCTGACCCTAAAAAAAGGTTAGGAGAAGGCAACTGACCTCTATTTCCAGCTAGAGAGGCTCAGTTCTACTTTGAAGGTTGGTTACATTGCGCGGACAATGCAAAAGAAAGAAGAAAAGTTAAGAGCAAGGCCCAAAGCGCATAACCTACAGGAAAAGCGGAAAAAAAAATCTGCGAAAACAGAGTTAGCGGTTAGTCTGTTGTAAAGATTAAAAATATTTATTTTCTGGTCCTTTTTTGAAATCCAGAAAATGGCAAAAACAGACAGTTCATTTTAGCGCTAATGAAAATTTCGATTCGACATTCAAAAGCAATCTGGTGGTATACAGTAATGGAGAAGTGAACTGGATACCTCCGGGTATACTAAAATTCAGCTGCAAGCTTGACATTACCTGGTTTCCATTCGACGACCAGATATGCGGATTAAAAGTAATCACGTATCAATGCGTTCTGAAAATTTTTTGTAATATTCATAATATAAAGCCGGCCCCTTAACTATGTGACTAGCAACGCTTTCAATTACTTTGACCAGTGCTACATTGTCAGATGATCAGCCTAGTGGTGATCCTGGTGTAAATTTCGTTTCCTGAAGCGGACTACCAATTCAGAAGTTTCCTTTGCAGAAGTTGCAAAAAAGTTTAAAAGTTCAAAAGTTCTTTTTCTTCTTTTCTCTGTTTTGGCAAAATGGAAGGTTTCCAGTGTTCGAAATGCTTTTGATGTGTATTGAGCAACCCTAGCACGTCTCTGAAGGCTGGCACTGTTAAATTAGAAAGAGACACTTTACCGTCTAGGTGTATATCCGAAATATTTCTTAATATTTACGCGTTGTGCATATTTTTTATGACTTCTTACAGACGAAAAATCGCATAGCTTTAATGGGTTCCGGTACGTCATACTGTTTTTCAGTTCATAAGATGATTTTTCATCAGTTTTCACTGATGATTTCCTATAGTGAAATACTAATTTTTTTAAAAAATCATTGTGTTTTGAAAAATCTATCGTTGACCGTCGGGCTCAGATGATTTCGAAAAAACTTGCGCATTTGGAAATTTTAATAAAATGTCGTCGATTCTTATCCTTATAATTTTGCTCGAATAGGCATTAAAAATTAATTTTTAACCTAATTTAACGCATTTCCGTTTTTTGGAAAGCTAGCTGTGGAACATAAATATTTCTAGAAAGACTAGTATGAACAAAGATCAGCATAATGTTTTCCTACTCCGTCTTTAGTTATATGTAGCTCAGGAGTCAATAGAGCTTTTTCAAAATTGCTCATTTCAAAATCAATTTCAGTTTGGTTCATGGACATTCAACGGATTTGCTCTTGATTTACAAATCGATGCTGATGATCCAAATTCAGGTTCCTAATTTTTCTCGGTGCTATCATATTGTTTTCACGTGACAGCTTTGAACTTATATCGCCATCCAAACTTCTGTCCATTATCGCTCTATTTACACATTACATTCGGAGTATGTGTGCGCTCATTTGCATAAATCCAGCTTCATATCCACTTACTTTCCTGGACGAGGAACTTAAGCCATTTGATCTCGCAAAATAACAGCAGTTATTGGCATAGCCGTTGTACTGACGCAGCCCAGTTACGGAATTCAATGAGAATGCGCACGTCTTAATGCACTGAAGCGTTTTTGTTTAGTTATTTTATTTAGTTACTTTTATTTCTGATTTTTCTTTTCCCGTTTTTTTTTGCGCACACGCTGATGGCGTTTATTATTACCAAGTTATTTCTGAATAATCCATCTTCACCATGTCCATTATCTCTTAAAATATTTTAAAAGAAAATCGACGTATGCGACTTAGTGAGCTGAAACATTTCATTTCAGGGTTCCTTTTTCTATTTCTTGTCGTATTCGTTACTATTAATCACTACAATTTATTAGACTAGTTATCATATTTTGACTACCTAGATTAGTTATTATAAATTATTATAAACTAATTTTAAATTATTTTAAGTCATGCCAAATCAATGGCAGCATAGAGACTGACGTGTAAGTCTTTACTCAGTTTGTTTTCTAAATATTATCTGATTCTTAAATCCAAAAAAAGCATTCAGAAGAAATAGAGAACTATATATTTCGCCGCATTCATCCCACTTGAATCTCATAGCAGCTCATCAAAAAAGTGCATTGCTGAGAGTTACTGTTATTATCAAATTGCTAGCTGCGTAACAAAGCCCTGACTACTTTATCGCTACAGCGCATCAAATGGATATAAGCGATTATGTGGTGAACGGTGAGTGGGATTTGATTGCCACACCAGCAGTACGCAATGTTAAACGTTTCGAATGTTGTCCGGAGCCTTATCCGACCATCACGTTCTATATGCACATTCGGCGACGAACGCTTTATTACGGTCAGTTACGTATTGTATTGTCCAGTGTTGCTTCTTTAAAATAAAAAGAACCAATGGTCAGTTTTAAATGGTCAAAAAATTTTTTCAGCAAACAAAAATGAAAAGAAAATATTGCAGTGCAAGGCCTGTAGCAGTTACGCAAAGCAATCTTATCACTTCCAACCCTTCTTCGGCCCGGCATTCAAAATGCCTCATGTATCTCAAACTGCTGTTAATTCTTAATTCAGTTTTTCCTCTAGGCATCCCGTGGCTTATTATGCGTTTTTGCTGTGCAGCGCTACAGCGCTGTTACAGCCGGCAAAAACGCGTATTGTCGAGAGGTCTTCTGTGTGTGTGTATTTGGAAGCGAGGGAACTTTGCACCCACTTTCATCTTAGCAGCCAGAAAAGTTGGGAGGCTAGAATTCTGGATTTATGTTCCTATTCCGTGTGTCATCCTCTCGTTTTAAAATTTATGCCCAGACGCACCTAGACCCCGCGTACGGACCCTGAAAGAAATATGCAGATTTCTGAAATCATTTCGCAAACCAGGCAAGGTACAAAGCTGAAACTACGCAGAGATTTTCTCTGTACCTGTATGGGCTAAAGATTTCAAATTTAGCTGTCGCGGGTGTTTGTGCAACGCGTACAATCACGTCAAAGTTTGCAGTTTGGTACTGTGCTAACTGAAAACTTGCCAGAAAACAGTGGCTGAAATTTTATTAGCATATTTTTCGTCTATATGGGAAATCGCTCACCTAAAATGAATACCGATCTGCACTCACGAAGTGGCTATTTTGTGGCTAAGTGGCTATTTTGCTTTCTAGATAAAGTGCGATGCTGAAAATTCACTGGGATATTCTGCTTTCAAGTGCGGTCTTAATTCTCCATGGAGGCAAAATTTCCTGGAGGTGGGCATGAGAAATACTCAACTTTACCGGAAATCAGAAACAAATGCACTTTGCAGCGAACGACCGCCCTTACCCTAATTTGTAAATGGACATTCAGTTCATTTGCACACTTGGATTTTTTGACAAACGATCGCTCGAGCAACATTTTCGCTTTTTAGTGAACTGGAAATTTGCATTTCTTCAGAAAATTTGAATTTTTATGGGTTTTTGCTGTGCAGCGTTATAGCAGCGCTATAGCGCTGCTACAGCCAACAAAAACGCATATTGTCGAGAGGATTTCTGTGCATGTGTGTGTGTTCAGAAAGCGAGTGCATTTTGTCACCCGCTTTTATCTCAACAACCAGGAAAGCTGGGAGGTTGAAACTTTGAATATATGTTCCTTCCCCATGTTTCATCCTCCCGTTTTAAGATCTTCCCCCCTACGCGCCTAGACCCCGCGTACGGGATCCCCAAAGAAATTTGTTGGCGGGAAACGATTTCGCGAAC